AGTCTCTGCATCTCCACACCCTCGCTGGGGGTGCCTGGTGAGTTTTTAGCCAGTCCAGGTCTCTGTGGTCCTTTCATAGGTCCTTGTGGAAGATCTGCTCCCAGACGGTTTGGCAGTTGTCTTCGGGGAGCAGCTCCACAGTCGATAGCCTGTCTCTGGCTCTGACCACCTTCTGTATCTTCCTGTGGTTGGATGTGGTCGCCGGGCATTCACTCAGTGGCCCGTACTCGCCCTGGAACTCGTCCAGAATCCTGTAGAACCAGGGGTGCTCCATGGTCCACAGTCTCCCATCGGTTGGTGCATATACCCCCCACTGTCTCAGGAGGTGACCTGCAAAATACTTGAGTAAACAGGCTATTTTGGTCTCTGTACCAATCGCCAGCTTGCAGATCTGGCTCATGTACCTGGCCCACAGGAAGAGGAGGATATCTGGCATCCCCCTGCCTTTGGTCCATTTTTTCTTGTACAGGGTCTTCCTTGAACCCCTGGTCCCCTACTTTACCTGTGGCAGGTTAGGGTGTTAGGTGAGGTCTGTGTTGTGTCAGGGTTGATGGCAGAGTTTATGGTTGTATGGGATGGTTTGGATACAGGTACAGCAGGTTGGACTAGATGACCCCTGGAAGGCCCTTTCACCCCTACTTCTCTATGACTGTGCCAGAGGAAACATCTCCAACCATTCTGATCCATGGTCATAAATACAGAAGTCCCCAACCTTGCAGTCACAACCCCATTTAGGGTTGCAATGATCAAAAATAAGGTTGGAAAGATGCTCAACAGTGTCAACCACTTATGATGAATATACTTCCTGTTTATAAATATGCAGCTCTTGCCCATGGCAGTTATTCATCCCCACACAATAATTGCAGATCCAATGCAAGGTGCTTGCACATTACAGGAAGCTGACATAAAATCAGTAGGTTGATGCTGGCCTAAATATGTTTCACATGACAGAGAAATCTAACATGGATGCTTTTCTCCAAATCTTCTGCTTTGAGTTCTAGCAATAAAACTAATGACAAGGATGAGTATGGGAAAGGAAAGGAGTGCAAGACATGAAAGCGAAAATTTGATGAATCCCTCATTGTGCTTGGATTTACAAGTACTGGGGTGAGTGGGAAAGAAAGGCCGCAGTGTGTTTTGTACCAGGCTGTTTTGTCTGCAGAAAGCATGAAACCCAACAAGCTTAAGTGTCATCTGAGTTCACAACACAGGGAACATGAAGGAAAGCCAGGGTCATTTTACAAGCAATATGAAAAGGAATTATCTTGCCAGAAATTAAAAATCAAGACCACTCTGTCCGTGTCTGTACAGTCACAGAGGGCCTCATTTGAAGTGATTTATCACATTGCTCAATGCAAGAAACCTCTCACTGTCAGAGAAACGTTAGTCTTGTCCACTACACTTGACAGGGTCAGAATTATGCTGGAAGAAAAGCCAGCAAAAAAAACCGTAAAACTGCTCTCTAATAATGTGGTCAAGCATAGGGTAGAAGCACAGTAAATATAATCCACAGTTAAAGCAATTGAAATAAATGTCAAATAAAAGCATTCAATACCTTTTTTAGACTTCATATTCAATGTTGTTTTTTTAATCTAAAATAATTTAAAATGATTTAAAATTAAAAATATGAAGGCCATAAGCATTGTTATGCCATATTTATGACTTGTTCATCTTGTCTGCATCATTGTGGGGTCGCAAAAAATTTCCATTGTTTAAATGGAGTCATGCTGAGGAAAAGGGTTGTAAGCTGTACATTAATAGATTTATCATCCATTAATTTATCCAGACCCTTTTTGAATCTGACTATACTGTCTGCCTCCACTACCTCCTGTGGCAATTAATTCTGTAAGTTAACTACATGTTGCATAAAAAAGTACTTCCTCTTGCTGGTTTTCAATCCATACCTACTAAGTTCAGTGGATGCCCTCTAATTCTTGTATTCTGGGACTTGGTGAACAACAGTTCCCTGTTCACTTGGTCCACACAGTTTATGACTTTATAGACCTCTATCATATCCCTCCTCAGCTTTCTCCTTTCCAAACTGAACAGTCCTAGCCTTTTTAGTCTCTCCTAGTACAGCAACTGCTCCAAACCCATGATCATTTTGGCTGCCCTTCTCTGTACCTTTTCTAATTCTACTACATTCTTTTTGAGATGTAGGGACCACAACTGCACACAATATGCAAGATGTTGATTTGTGCCATGGATTTGTATAATATACTCAGTTCTGAAGGTTGGAACTGTCTTCATACAAATCTAGTGCAGGAGGGAAAAGGTCAGCAAAAAGATGCCTAAAAAATGTAGCAGCAATTAATTTGTTTTATACAATTCTTTCTTGCCAGCCATTTCTGTCCCAGAAAAATCTCAACTTCATTTCATTCTAAACATCTCCACCCTCATTCAGTCCTCCCATCTCTCTGTACACTTTCTTCCTACTGACTATTCATTTTCCTCCCTGACACCAGGAATTTTTCATTTCTTCCCTCCTGTCATGCCTCCTGGTACCAGAATCTCAGTACTCAACATCTCTACCCCACTTGAATACTGGACACAATGGGACTCATCCCATCATTAGTTTCAGTACTAGTAGCTCAGGAAAGCTGTAATCACAAGATACAGAAACACCATGATCCAGTTAATGCAATGCAAGCATTTTTATTTTATTTGATGTGCACATATTTTAATTTCACAAGTACTTTATAGCATAGTACATGTATTTTATTTCTCATATAAGAAATATTAGCTCTCATGAACTTTCCTACTGTGTCAGACCTGAATCCTGCACCTGAATAGTTGCAGTATAAAATTTCTTACATCAACAAGATTACTCCACCTTTCAATTTTAAGCATAGCAAGTATTCCACTTCAATTACTGCCATAATTTTGCCTCGTTACTCTCCGAATTCAGAGGAAGTATGATTTCTAATTTGATCTTTTTATTCTGCTCATTATATTTATACAGAATTCACTTCATTCCTGTCCAAGGTTTTTGAGAGTTTAAGGTTAGATTTTATAAATTAACAATAAAAACAAATAGAAAACATTCAAAAACAGATCAAATCCATCTACATTTTTCCCTATCTATGGTAACTCACTTTTTTTGGAAAGGTATTCTTTTTCAAAGTGTAATTCATAATGGTAGAATTAAAGCTAAAACAAAATTGGCAAAACGTATTTGGCATTTTGGACCAAATGTTTTGCTTATTGGTCATTAAAACTCATCACAGTCTAAAACATAACTATGATTCTGCACGCACAGTTGCTTACTAAAATATGAATTTGTGATATTACAGCTGTAATTACTTTCTTAAATTCCCATGTATTTAAGTAGATTGATTACTTGTTGTACTGCTGCTCACACTGTTGAGCTGCTGACCCTACATTTGTTTTGTTTTTTAAAGAAAACAAAATCAATGAGAATTTGTTTTTAAAAAAGAATCAAACGTCAAAAAAGAACTGAGGGACTCTAAGCAGGAATAATCAAAATGAGTAACTTTTTAACCCAAACATTCTGACTGTGTCATATCAGTAAATCAGCAATGATGCGCTAGCCTGACTTTGTCTGCAATATACTAATTCTATATAACTTTAACATTTATCAAACACCAATCAACGTGCGTCCTTCATTGCTGATTTACTGTTCTCAAACACCCAGGATTATTATACTGTAGAGAGGGATTTGCTATGTTTTTTAACAGTTGATTTAAACCAAATGTATTTTCATCAATCTCTTGTATAGTGAAAATCCACTTTCTGCCCAGGTATTTCATTCTTCAGTAAACACAGAACCTACTTTTAGGGAGTATTAATTTAACTGCCTTTTTTTGGTAGAAAGTAAAAAAAAAATATCAGAAGAAAATTATTTTTAATTAACATAAATGTAAGAAATTGTATCACACAGAATTGCACAGTGTAGTGTGATTAGTGTTAAAGCCAAAAAGACTCTGATTGACTTCCATAGTTACTGGACCAGAACCTTCAGAAGAGAAGGAGAAAAAACACTGAAAGAATTGTAGGGGGGAAAAAGAAGAACAGAGGAAGGAGAGGAAAGTAGAAAACTAAAGGAGAAAAGGAAATGATATATCTTAAAGAAGAAAAGGAAATGATAATTTCCAGTATCAGAATCCCACTACTGAACAAGGAGCTGGTCACAGGGCAGTAGTAGAAGTGGTAAAATGAGTGGGAAAGCAGCATCCTAGGTAGATGTGGGATAGCCAATGGAGGTGAGATTAGGCTATAAATCAGATCTCTTTTCAGACCTGGTCACCGTCATAACTGTGGCAGAAATGCCCCCGTCGGTGCCCCTCTCCAGAGATCTGTCTCAGCCAGCCCGAGAGGCTGCTGTGGAATCTCTCACAGCGGGGATCTCGCTCCTTGTCTGCAGACAAAAGCCTGGCGCCTGGGAGGCGATGCTCTGGTCACCTGGGCAGGGGGGGGAAGACCCGGCCCTGCGCGCGGGCCCAGGTAGCCAGGGATGCTTTGCAGATTGGACGGTTTGTAGCCAGTATTGGCAGCTTCGATTGGACCGGCTGCTGAGGTCAGAGAGGTTATTTAAGGGCCCGGGCCAGGAAGAAGGG